CGGATATGTGACCGTTGGATGCAGGAGGGTACGACTGACCAACGTGGTCGATCGCATCCACCTCAGCGCACCACTTCACGTAAGGACAGGCAAAGTGTGCGCATGGCAGTGACGGATCACTCACTCACATCACGAACCGTAGCACAGCACATTGAGTCTGTAACGCATCATTCAGTGTCTGCTCGTACCATTCGACGCCGTTTACAGCAGAGTGGTCTGCCCGCAAGACGTCCATTGCTTTGTCTACCCTTGACGCAGAACCATAGACGTCTCTGCCGCCAATGGTGCGATGAAAGATGGTTGTAATGAAGTTGTCTTTGCTGACGAGTCACACGTCTGTCTGCAACACCACGATGGTCGGATTCGAGTCTGGAGACACCGTGGAGAGAGGATGCTGAACAGCTGCGTTATGCACCGCCGCACTGGTCCTACACCGGGTATTATGGTATGGGGTGGTATTGGATATCACTCTCGCTCCTCTAGTATGCATTGCCGGTACTTTAAACAGTCAGGGCTTGGCCACAGCCATATTTCAACTGGATAATGCGTGACCACACGTGGCACGCATTGTCCAAAGGTTCTTCGTCAATCACCAGATTGAATTGCTTCCCTGACCGGCTCGTTCTCCGGATCTTTCGCCGATAGAAAACATGTGGTCCATGGTTGCTCAATGATTGACCCAGATTATACCCCCAGCTGCCACACCAGATCAACGCCTGGAAGCTGCTTGGTCTGCTGTATACCAAGAACACATCCAAAATCTTTTTGTATCAATGCCAAGGTGTATGGCAGCGGTGATCTATAACAATGGTGGCTACTCTGGCTACTGATTCTGGCAGGAACGATACTTCACAGAAGTCTATAAATTTAATCATTTGATACTTGGTCAACAGGTTATCTACAAAATAAATTTTGTTGTGCTATCTCTTGTCTTTCTTGGTGTTGCATTTACGGTGGCCAGCAGTGTATATTCTAGTTCAGGTCTCACTAGATATCTAAAGAATTATTGATTTACATAATTTTTCAAAATAACGGTTGCAAATGTAGTCGGAACCTAGAAATACAAAATGAAAAAATAAACAAATGGATAAAATAAAATAAAGCATTTTTATAAACCAATATATTCTTGTTCATTATTGTTACACTAGTTTTGTTAAAATATTTTACCTGTTGAACAGGCTGAATGTAAAAACAAGTTTCTATTATTTCAAACAGTTTAAAATTAACTATAAACGGTCTCACGCTTCAAGAAATCAGAACTGAAATATTGTAATACCTCTATTTAGCTACCCCGACTTAAGCGAACTTATTAAATGAGTCAAAGTGATGACGTTCAAGAACTACTGGATTCCTACAATCAGGAGCTGAAAATCAATGAGCTCAAAGAAATGAATGATCAAAAGCAAGACATTGAAGAACTTGAGTCTTTAGAACCCAGTTCAATCAAAAGTTCGAATGACGGTTGGGAATTGGACAGAAGCCCTCAGTTTAATTGAAAAAGGGTTACAAATTTTAGAAAATATAAACGAAGAGCATATTTTTTTCAACAAAAAATGAAAAAAAATATATTAGCATACTATGAGGTAATTTTGAGGGAGAAAAAAATACTTTGAGCCGGAACACAACTGTGGTAGATTTTATGAAACCTTTTGCATCAAAATAAATTCGGCTTGCGATTTTGTATCTGTGTTATCTAAGATTTTATGAAACATTTTATTTTATTTTAAATTATTATTTTCTTTCATCCTCGGCCCCAATTAAAAATAATTTGTATGTATTTTAATGAAAAATTATAGCCTGACGTACACGAATCACTGAGTCTCGCCTATCACGTAAGTTCGGGGAATTGCTGTACTCATTTATTAAGTTATCCAACTACCTTAAATTCATGATTTTTTTTAAAAAAATGACAAATTGTCTTATGATTTTATTTTATAGGTCATCTTATTTGCTTTATAAAAATACCAAGTTTATTATTTTCCGCTCTGTTGAACAAAAACTACAAGTGTTAAAATAAAAGCAGATGCCATTACTTTAAGCAAGATGTCATACTTCAAAATGCGTTTTACTCGAAATGTGCTTTTTTCGAAAAACTCAAATGGGGACAGCGATGTCTCAAAAAGTTTCAAAATAATTTGCTGAAATTTTTTGTGTATAACAGTAGAACTGTTTTAACCTTTAGATTTATCAATCACCGTTTTATTACAAAATTTACAGTTCTTTATGGGAATATAATCACAGTTTTTTAAGCAATTTCATGTAATGACTAAGATAAAGTGCTGTAGTTTTTATAAAAATTAAAATATCTCTTATCCTGAGAGCCATTTCAAAAAAGAATAGCAAAGTAATACATCAAAATTGAAAAATCGATAATTGGTCCATTTACTATTTGTACAGAGCGAGCCCCGTTTATGTAATTTTTTGTCAACTTTTANCCATTTTTTCCCATTTTAGTAGTAACAATTTATTTTGCTCTTCTTTACTTTAGGATTTTTTTTTCCTTATAGCGTACTAAATAAATCTAAAAAATCACAAAAAAAATCTCCATATCTCCATTTTTTAAAAAAGAGTTGTCGGAAGAGTAGTCGGATATCTAAATAAAATCAAATTCACAATTAAAATAATATTTAAAACAGTTTCTAAGACACTTTCTTGTTCGCTTCTGTAAGATATGAGATTATAGATTATTTTTCGGACTATCAGATGCCCGATCAATCAGAAGTAACTCCAAACATCAACAATGAACATCGAGCAACAAAGGTGCCTCTGTATACACTTCATTCTTTACGTAAACCGCGCAAAGCGCATGCGCCTCGCCGGATCCTTCGAATCTCCTTCGCTTGATTCCGGAATTCGGCGTGTAGACAGCGCGTGAAATGGCCGGACGCCGGCTCTGTCGGCATGCTCTCATCTGTGTCTCGGCTTGTTTACTCACGTGCATCGCCATTCTTTGTCTATGGATCCAGGAATCCGGCAAAGACCTTTGTCTGGCGATTGGGGGAGTATTTCGACCCCCAGCTGTCATGGTACCCGCTGAGGTAAGAGATTTTATGAGATAAATTTACATACAAAACTTGTATACAATCTTTTAAGGTATTCGACTACCCTAAAATCATGATTTTTTGAAAATTTCTCATTTTCTTTTTAATTTTATTTTATAGGTTATCTTATCAGTTTTATAAAAGTACAAGTTTTTTTTTTATTTTTTATTCTCTAGAACGAAAACTACAAGTGTTTTAGTAAAAGCAGATGGCATAACTTTACATAAGATGTCAAACTTTAAAATGCGTTCTACTCGAAATACGTTTTTTTTTCTTTCGAAAACCTCAAAAGGTGGGCAGTGACAGCTCAAAAAGTTTTTAAAATAATTTGCTGAAATTTTTTCTGCATGTTCTGTATAACAGTAGAAGTGTTTAACCTTCAGATTTATCAATCACTGTTTTATCATAAAATTTACAGTTCCTTAACTAAATATAATCACTGTTTTTTTTAAAAAAAAAAATTTTGTATAATAACTAAAATAAAGTTCTGTAGTTTTTGTAAAAATTAAAATATCTCTTATCCTGAAGGTCGTTTCAAAAACGAATAGCAAAGTAATTCATCAAAATTGAAAATTTGCTCATTTACTATTAATACCGTTGTTACCAGTTTATATAATTTTTTACAATTTTTACCCATTTTAGTCGTAATAATTTATTTTTAAATTCTTAATTTTAGCCTTTTTTTCTCAAAATGTACTAAATAAATCTAAAAAAAAAACCACAAAAAAAATCTCCATACATCCATTTTTAAAAAAAAATTGTCCTAAAAAGTCGAACACGTTAAAAGTTTTCTATCAGAATTTTCTAAAGAGAACGAGCCAGAATATTGTTCTGAATTCCTTAGTACAATGCTTCAAACTTTCAATACTTGCTACCCAATTTTCAG